TTGCTCCTGGTGTAAGGGCAATCCTCATGAATTTAATCTAGTAAAATCTTCTGAACGTTGTGTAGGGGTAGGATAGGAACTACAGGTAATAATTAAACATGCTGGCTTTATTCTCTCGTTTATAGAATAAATAAAGTAGGGCGAAAAAGGGGGGGGGGGAGGTGTGCTGGAATGCCTGCTTATTTATAAGTTCACGTGACAACAGCTGTATGGTCAGCTGAGAAGAGAGTGTGAACTATACCCCGAGGGCACGACTCTCGCTTTTCCATCAGGAACAGCTCTACTTGAAAGGTGTAGAATTGGTGAAATGGTATGATTTGAACGCCTCTACCAGCACTAATAGGTTGAAATAGGTAAATTATTTAAGAGGCGGGACCTCCGGGTACAACGTACATCTCCGAAAGGATCGAGCCAAGTGGGAAATTCGTACAAAGTGCCTTTCCCAAGTTAAGGATACAAAGTCGGACCGAGCTGAGGCTCGAATCCCCGAACCCGCAATCTCACGATAACGAGTCCGGTAGCCTAACCACTAGGCTACAACCACTAGGCTACCGACGCCACTGAACAGTAGTGAAGTGAGAGCATGATGTCTTCAAGGGTGGGGCTTTTTATTGGTGTGTGTGTGTGAGGGAGACGGGAAAGGGGTCTTATTTTATGATTTGATAAACAAAATAATATGACCAGTCATAAAAAGAGAATGCAGTTCCAACTATCTAAGACGGCTATTCATTGTCGAGAAAAAAGTGACAGTCTTAGATATGTGGCCGTTTACAAAAGAAAAAAATACGCCAGGGAGGAAATTGGAAGAGCCTTTTTTCGGGTGACTGCCTGGTACAGGTGGCCGTTAGAGCAGGTTCAAGTGTACAAGCATTACGCTACCTCAGAATTACAGTCCTATCTGCTCAGTACTTAGTTTTGAGAAATTTGACGTCAAATGTTAGGGTTTTAAAACTTTTCGAATGCAATTCTTTGAATATCTTGATAACGAATCCGAATAATGTTACGACTTTGATAAACTAGACAGAGCATTTGGTTTCGACTTCATGGTCGTATTAACTCCGAACGGCCTAAAACATCAGAGAGAACCTTGTAATTCTGAGCTAACGATAAGGCAACGCGGATACGACCAGCAGCACACGGCCGTTGTGCGAGTCGGGATTTGGGTCGCAGAACTGGTTTGTGAGATAAAAATGGGCTAACGGCTTTTTCAACACAATAGGGTTATTTTTTAAACAGAATGTCCAATTGAACATCCGTCTAAAGAAAGAAAAGATCAAGCAGGTAGAGTGCTTAACGTTTATAAAAGAATCCGAAAGCTATTGAGAATTGTCTTTCGAGGATTTAACTTAGGGTGGTCCTTACGTGAGAAAACAAGTTAACTCAGCATACACCCAGACACGAGTTAACAAATTAATAATGGATACGTTATAGCTAAATAAACAGATGAGAAGATGAATCGCCACTTTAAAAGTACAAGTTCTGTCTTGTCAGAACCTAGATCTAGTTGGGAGATATTTGAAATAAAAAATTGTTAATCTCACAACATAGTCAATCTATTCGAATGCAATTCTTTGAATATTTCTATAATGACTCCGAATATTTCTACTATTTTGATAGAGCAAGCAGTGGCGGTGGGTAGTGAAGGGCTCACGGGCTTGAGCCCCCATCTCCACCCCCAAGTCTATCCCAAGGCAAATGAAAATAACGAAATAAGCAGTTGAAACTGTTCTGATCGACCGCAATGAACACAGAGTTATCAACTTGGCGGCTTGCTCGTTTATCCAATCACTGTGGTCTCCGCTTACAACTATAGTAACCTAACAGCCAATCAAATGTCTTTGGGGATCAGCAATCAACCAGCCCGTTCCCACGGTCTCTCCTTAATGAAACCCCTCTTGTAAGAAGGTAGAAGACTTGAAAAAAATAACACTGCACAGAGGGCTCACGCTCTCCCAGCCCTAACAATGGGGTGAAAGTTTACGACACACTTTCCCCCAGTGAAACAGTTACCTATGCGCCCATTGGGCCTTTGTTAGGCGTGTTCTATTTTCTGCAACAACACGACCCAATCCACCTCATACACGGTGTGTGTTTGGAATGCTGTGTGTTTGTGCCGCTGAGATTTAACAGTTATTAATTTCATGAAACCACTTTTGAGGCAACTTTTTCATCAAATAAAAACTAATTAGAGAAATTTGGAGGTGAAACGGCTTCGTCCCCACCATTCAGAAGAATTTAACGGTGAACAAAGAGATGGCAGACAAAGGTGGCTCTTCTCGTTTGAATGGTTCTCAAAATGCCGTGGCTCGCCGTGAGTATAGAAAAACCATCACTGTGTTCTTCTTATTGCTTGCTTTTTAGTGGTAAAGAAGTGGAAGAAACCTAAGCCCCACCCAAATCTAGGTTCACCCACCGCCACTGAGAGCAAGTAGAGTATAGGCAATTGGTTTCTGATCTCATGGTCATATAGTAACTCACCCCCCCCCCCCAACTGAAGATGTC